CATTAATCAATGCAGCTAGTCCTGCTGTCAGCCATGATGTCACTTGTCTAGTTTTGTTGTTTTTCTGGGCTTGGAGCTGAAACACAACTGAGGCCAAATGTTATCTAAGGGTTAATGCTTAAGGGAGTAGTCGTGCATGGGCGTCACCTCAGGCCACTCTTGAACCCCTTGTTCCTCCTCTAAGGGGGTCTACCACATGACTTGCAACATGCCAGGGAAGGAAAGTCAGGGGAGGGTCCGAACCGCATGACTACCAATATGAAAGGTCAGGGGGTCTAACCACATGCCCAGCAATATTCTAGGGAAGGAAAGGTTACCCTGGGGGTGAGGTCCTTGTTTTCCCAGTTTTGTCTGTTTCTAGGCCCCTGGGCTTTCTGCCCTGGTGGCCTTCTGTACCTGGCCTATCGTCCTTGCTTTGCTCATGTTTGTCTGCCTACCACCTTTCAAAGTATACAGTTGCAGAACATAAACTAGGCTTCCTGTATTAGAAAAAATTCAAGTGGTAGACTAGAGGACATTTATTTCAGTAGAACTTTTCTTTCTGTGTTTATTCAGAGTCCTTTAGCTTTTTCCACATCTCAGCTGCTTTTGCCATCCCAGCAAACAGTGAAGAGAGGGCAGAAATCTTGTAACCCCAATTGTTAGCAAATGTTGCATTACCATAAAATACATAAATCATCAGTGCAGCCCTACAATAAGCTACCCTCCCACCGCCCTGTTGTAGAGGACTTTGGCTATGTGAATATTAATGAAAGCTGAGTTAATATATGTTATATCTTGACATGCCACCCGGGGACAAGGAAGACTGAGTTAAAGAAGAAATCATGTGTAGGATACATCTTGAAAATCTACATTAAGGTGACAGCGATAAGATTGGAGGGAATTAACTAAATGGGTTTTGTAATGTCATATCCTTGATTTTCGTGATGTTGGTTTAATCACTCTCTTAACATTAGTTTTCTCCTTCTATAGTATGAAGTAGCCGAGTTCAGTTTCTGGTAGCACTTAATGTTTTTTCCTATACAAAGGTTTTGAGATATTTATTTGGTACAGACCTATAGTCCCTAGGTCTAGAGTTCTTTGACTGTTTTTATGGTCATCTACTCCAGAAATGTATTAAGTCGGTATGTGAAAAAAAATGGGTGAGAAAATGATTGACTAACTGAAGTTTGCAGTATGAAAAGGTTGCTTCAGTATCATAAGATAGTTGGCAAGTTACCAAGGTAGAGGTCCTCAAAGCAAAATAAATTCCTCTTGATGTGGTTGCCCCGGTTGTGGAAGAGGTCTGGCTACAAGCACCTAAGAAAAAGAAGTTGACTGGAGCAGGATGCACTTCTGGTTGTTTCAGAATGTAGTCCTTTAATTAAAGAACATTGTGATGCTGGGGTCTGGTCCACCGTCATCTCTTCCTGGGTTATTACAGAGGCCTGTTAACTGAAGCTCAGTCCTCAGTCTTGTCTTTTCCCTAGTCTGTCCTTCACCCAGAGCCAGGTGTTTCTGTAACGTAAGTTTGATTTCCACTTCCGTGTTTAAAAACCTTTCTGACTTCCAATTGCCCTTGAGATAAAGAGTGATCTTTTTATTGCTTTTTTATTTTTTTTTAATATATTTTATTGATTTTTTACAGAGAGGAAGGGAGAGAGATAGAGAGTTGGAAACATCGATGAGAGAGAAACATCGACCAGCTGCCTCCTGCACACCTCCCACTGGGGATGTGCCCGCAACCCAGGTACATGCCCTTGACCGGAATCTAACCTGGGACCCTTCAGTCCGCAGGCCGACGCTCTATCCACTGAGCCAAACCGGTTTCGGCAAAGAGTGATCTTTTTAAATCACTTCTAAAGTCTTAAGTGATCTGGCCCCTCTCTGATCTTATCTCTCATTGGATCATAGACCCCTCGAACTCTTCATCCAGCTTTCAGACCCTCTTTCTGTTTCTCTGGAAGCAATGCTTTTTCTTGCCTCTGAGCCTTTGCATATGCTGTTCCATCAGTGGCCCCTTCATGCCTGCACCAATGTCCCTCAAGCATAGCACTTGCCTATGTACTCACTTTTCTTCACCACTGTAGTTTGCACAATTACTCACAATTCTAGGCATAAAGTAGCAGCTCAGTAAACATCTCTTGCATGAAACAATGAAAAAAAATCCATTCTGTTTTAATATGTTAACATTAATTTGGATCTGTCCATTTCCCACATTTATTTTCTTTTCTTGTATTATTGATTTAACTTCATTTATCTTTTCAAACGTGTATTTCTTTTTTTTTTTTCTTCTAACCTTCTCTCCTCCCACTCGTGGATCTCCCTTTTAATGATATTTTAGACTATGTTTGGGTCTAGTCTTCATGATTACCAGCACAGTGATCCTGGGTTGCTCATATCCTTCAGTAGCAGCTTGAGCCTGTTCAGGCTGTGTTTGCAGGCAATGCTGGGAGGATAAAAGAGCACTGTATTTGCTGCACAATGTCTATAAGGAATCGAATTTTTATCTCAATTATTTGTTGGCATGAGTAGGAAGGAGCGAAGAGAAAGCAGTTGGTAAGGGTCTTTGGTTTTGAACAAAATAGGAAATCATGTAAAATAAAAAGGGATCTCTAAGAAGGAAATTTTCCGTGGTTAAAATTATTTGTATTTTGGAGGAAGATATTGACTTTCTTATCATTGCACTTTCCACCTCCCATCACACTGACAGCAGAACCGCTGTGGAAGTAGCCTAATAAACAGCTCTTATTCTGCGTTCCTTTTTCTCTTCCAGATGTCACACTGAAGGTCCACATCAGTGACGCCAGCACCCACCAGCCTGTCCCAGAGGCACTCATCGAGATTTTCACCAACCAGGTCTCCATCGCCTCTGGCACCTCGGGGACAGATGGCGTGGCCTTCATCAAGTTCCAGTATAGGCTGGGCAGTCAGTTGATCGTCACTGCCACAAAGCACGCCTATGTGCCGAACTCTGCCCCATGGAAGCCAATCCGATTACCTGGTAAGGTGCTCTCAACCTGTCTCTGAAACAGAGTTTGCAGTCAGGCCAGTAATAGAGTCACACACAGAAACAATTTTGAAAGTGGAGGTCAGATGAAAGGGAAAATATTGGCTTAGTCTCTGCTTTAGCTTGTGGCCCCCTTATGTGAAGAAAGGGGGAATCTGGTATAAAGGCGGTTGAGGCCCCATCTTTTTATACTCACCGTGGAGTCAGAGCCTTAGAGTGTCTGCTCACTTCTGCAGCTCCCCATTCTGAGCCTCATTGAGTATCACAGCCGGATGCGTGAGGCAGTGCTTTCATGGAGCGTCATTGCTCTGTTTCCTGGGCCTCAGAGCAAAGCTGGCCAAAGATGAGGGGAGTCCTGGCGAGACTGTATTTCTCTTCCCCTTCCTACCTGCTAAGGCTGTGTGTTTCCTCTCCTCAGTACTCTACTTCACCTCGGGCACATCTGATCCCCAAACATGTGGATTTCCTCCACACATCGAGCAATTCTCAAATTCTCAGATACCAGCTGGGTGTCCTACAATTGAACTCAATTCTGACACTACCTACCTACAGGTTAAGGCTTTCGTCCCATGAGACTGCCCCTGCCAGTTCAGATGCCAGTTGAAAGTCCAGGTCGTCACCTGTGCTTCTGTAGCTGTACCTGACCTGACTGGCTGTAGGTCAGAGGTTCCCATAACTCTGGTTTACTAGAGTAGCTCACAAAACTCAGAGAAGCAGTCCACTTACTCGATTACTGGTTTATTGTAAAGGCTATCAAAGAAACAGTGAGCTGGAAGAGATGTGGAAGGAGCACAGAACTTTCATGCTCTCCAGGTGCAACCCTCCCAGCACCTCCACGTGTTCACCAACTCAGAGGCTCTCCAAACCTCTCCTTTTTGGTTTTTATGGAGGCTTCAGCACACAGACATGGTGGATTAAATCTTTGGCAATGAGTGACTGATTCATCCTCCAGCCCCCTCCCTTCCCTGGAGGTCAGGGGGTGGGGCTGAAAGTTCCAAGCTTTTCATATGTGTTTGGTTCCCCTGGCAACCAGCTTGCATCCTTAGGTTATCTAAGGGGCTTTCCAAAAATCAGTATATTAACATAAACTTCAGCATGTTTGAAAGGGACTTATTATGAATAACAAAAGACATCTTCATAGCTCTCATCACTTGGGAAATCCCAAGGTTTTTAAAAGCTCTGTACTCAGAATGGAGACCAAGACCAAATACATATTTCTTATTTTAAAGCACAATATCACTTTACCATTCACCACTTCAAAGTAGTCAGTCCACCACAAGGGGCAAGAATGGTACCTGACACAGGTTCAACTTGGGATGGGGAGGTGGGGGGCAGCAGTTAGGCCTCTTCTGTCCCTTCCCCTAAGGCTCCATCTAGTGAGTGGACCACATCATACGTTCACACCATCAGGTCAGCGACAGGGATGGGCTGACGGCTGGCAGAGATACTGCCAGGGTAGTGGGGGAGCGTGGGTTTTGGACACCAACTGACCTGGGTTCTTGCTCCCAGTCTGTGCTTGAGCCCCTCTAGCTTTGATGTCAATCTCTATAAAAACGGACCTAATACCACCTCATAGAGTTGTTCTGATTAAAAAGTAGTGAACATATGTAAACTAGATTGCAATGCCTAAAACACCGTAGGTGCTCCATGAATATGTAGCACCCAGCACAGTGCCCGGCAAAACACCTGTGTTAGAGCTCATCTCTGTGCCACAGAACCCTGGGCACGCTCCATGAAGGTCCCTGCTGCCTCTGGGGACAGGCTGCAACTAAGTGTGGCTGTTTCTGGTCTTTAAAATTCTGGTGTCTGCCCTTACTCACAAAGTTCTCTGTAGTTCATTTTACATTCATTAAGTATCTGCTATGGGCCAGGCACTGCACTGGGCACTGAGAAGACAAATAGAGACGCAGAACCTGCTCCTACGAAGTTTATAATGTAGTTGTGAAGTCAGCCACAGGTGGCATTTCCACCTAAGGAGATAAATGTGGATAGATTTGTGTGTGTACCAGGTATGTATGTAGGGCTGTTGGGGAGGACTGATAACCAGTGTAGGTGAGCGAATTAAACCTCTAGGTGTGATCAAGAGGGGAGCTGAGTCTCAAAGACGAGTAGATAATTAGCACCAGGAGATGCTTGTAAAAACACAGATGCCAGGATTCAACCATTCAATTGGGGAGATTATTCAGGAATTTACATTTTAACAAACAACCTCTCCCCTATTTATGGATAAAAGTTTTCACTGAAGTTTGAGACCACTGTTTTGTGAGCTATAGAAAGTGAGATAGATACAGCTGAGGATATCATTTAGGGAAATTTGAGAAAAAAGGGGGGAAAATCTGAGAAACATTTAGCAGTCAAAATCCAGAAAGCCTTGAGGAATGGATGGGAGAGAGGTAAGCAGAAGGACGAATTAGAGTAAGTGTAAATTGTATCTCAGTTTCTGGCCAGGGAGAGAGCAGATAGATGGGTAATTGGGTTGGGAGACTTGCCACACTGGTTCCCCAAAGTGAATTGATGGAGTAGGTAAAAAGAAGCCCCCCTCCTCCTTTCTGTGTGCATCCCTCTCCCCAAGCTTGGGACTCAGGCAAGACAGATGGAGGTGGGTAGGGAGGGGAGAAGGGAGGAAAGGATGAGTGTTGGGGTCATAATTGATGTTGAACTTAGGGCAGGTTGGATTTTAGCTGCCTGTGGAATGCTAAATGTGTTCGGCCTATAGTTTAAAATGAGTTTGGAGCTCAAGGGATTTTGAGATAGAGGTATAGTTTGCGGTCATTATCAATCTTGCAGTAAGAATCAACAGCAGGAGCTCACCTGAAGAGTGGAGAGGAGAGGGCCTGGACAGAACCCTGAAAAGGCCAACCAAGTAGGAAGCGTGAGCTTTGTTAGTTTATATCTAAAGAAATGTTTGACCGCCCCCACTCTGCACAGTAGAAACTGCTCAGAGAAGTTTAAACAGTGTCCACACACCACACTTCACCTTCGCTGGAAGAGCAGCAGCACAAAGCACAGTGGATTCTCGTTATTCACATTGGTCGGGTCTGCCAGGTCACCGGGAGCACTGTTCCTAGGGGAAATGCAGGGTTAGGTGCCTGCAGGCCTCTGATCACAGCATTTTCATCAACTGATTGCTCTGTCACCTTATTTTATGTATGTTTCTGTTTAAAGACATTGCATTTAACATATATTATCGGTTCACTAACAGTGAATTCACAGCCAACGGCACTGAAACTCATACCTGAACAAAGCTTGTCTAGCGTGTATTTTCTTCATAAGGCTCATCACAGTCTTCCTGCCCTTAGGGACCCTAGATAGCACTTCAACACTACACCGGGGGGCTATTTTAACCCCTTCCCCGGCAGAAACGTGTATACACGTTTTCACAAAATGTTCTTTTTCAGTCGTCGACAAGTATACTAAGAAAATATGGTAAAAAAATATGGTTTGTAGGAAGACGAGCTACAAACTGTTTTCATAACCAGCATCAAAAATACTATATAGAACCAAAATAAAAAAATTAGTCTGAAAAAGAAACGTTTTTAACAAAAAAATTGTTGGGGAAGGGGTTAAACAGTGAAATCGCCAAAAAAAAGCACAAGATTGCAAAAAATTTGGCCCTGAATAGATCACAAGAAAGGACACTTTCAGCATGAGAGCTAAAGCAATAAGGTATTGTTGCCGTGTTTGACCTGGGCTGGGAACATGCACATCAGGAGACCCAAATCTTTTACCAGTCTGTACATGCACATGTATTGACTTGGGAATTGCAAATTTAAGTACGTTAGCACATTCACAAATATGGGATACACAAATAATGGGGATCAATTGTAATTACATATATTCATTTTGATTTTATTAACATGATCATTTGAGGAAACGCAGCCATTCCTCTAATGTTCATTGTTTTAAATGAGTCAAATAAGGCGAACATTGTAATTTAATTGAAAGAATTTTGGACTAGGCATGAAGATACCCAGGTTCTCACTTGCTCCCCTCCCCATCTGGCCCCCACACATGTGAGCCCGTCATGGCTTTCTGAGCCCATGTTTCTCATTTCTAACCTAAATTAGTAAGACTAAATAATTTTCACCAAGTCTTTGGTTATTTTTCTCTGGTTGCCTTGTCAACATAGGAGAGATTCTCTAAACTAGACTCTAACAGAGAACATGGATAAAATTTAGACTGGTCTATTGTGAGAAGCAGAGCAAACTGTTATTGTCATGCATAATTTTGAAGGCCAACACTAACACTTTTGGTATTCCAGATAATTGGGCAAGGAACAGAGAAAAGTTGGGAGCCTCTTCTAAAATACAAGGGTGGGCAAAAATTGGTTAAATTACCAGCTATCATTTAAAAGATAAATCATAAGTAAGGATACTAAGTACTAACAATAATAAGAAAAATATACAAATAAATAGTGCAATAATTAATGAATAAATAATAATACAAGAATAAATTCTATTCTGTATACTTACAACTGTAAACCTACTTGTGCCCTCCTTGTATGTTGACAATTTGAAACAAAAAAAAAAAATGCTTTCTCTACTACATGTGCACACGTGGTTTAGTTTGAATACACATGCTTACGAGAGTTTGGAATGGATTTCTTTCTTCATCCTTGACTAGTTCCTAGGAGATGTTTTTCTCTCTTCTCTTTCAAGGAAGTGGGTATAGACTGGGGAGGAGGAATCCAGTTGGCAAACAAATGTAGCCATAAAAAATGTAAGTCATCAACTAAGGACTATCATTCCACATCTTAACTGTTTTCATCTCCGTAGTGATTGCCCAGTAGACCTTTTGCAGTGGTCGAGGGTTATTACCGCGGTCTCTGACTAGTTCAGTCTGCCTCTTCACACCACCCTCTGTTTTACTGAGCAGTGTGTGTGTGTGTGTGTGTGTGTGTGTGTGTGTGTGTGTGTAGTGTTATACATCTACCTAAAGTCCTTTGGTGTCTTCTGGATACAGTTCAAACCAAACACAACACAGACCCTCCTCCCATAACCACTTCTCCCATGCATATGTCATGGTCTAGTCACCTTGAGCAATTTGTTATTCTCTGCAGGAATCTGACATTTTTACCCTCTCTGTGTTTGTCTAACATTGTTCTCTGGGCAAGCTTATCTCGGTCCTTTAATGCCCAGTGTGGCTATTTGCTGCTGCAGGAAATCCTCCTGCCTTTCCCAGGTACAGGTAGATGTTCCTTTCTCTCTGCTTATCAAAAAACACACATCTACTTAGTGTGACAAGAACCTCTAGACATGAGTCAGCATCTCTTCTGTGGTGGGTAAAATGCTGTCTACCAGCAGATCTGAGTGCCTCCCTGCCACCTCCCTCCCACTGGGGCATTCCATCCTTCCAGGTGCCTTGTCCCTTCCCTCCTGCTCCAGGAAGCCCCTGCTGGTGCCTCTGCCGCCACACAGCAAACTTGGGACAAGAACTCATTTTTTTTTCTCCTATGTGAAATAAGATTTGAGAAACAGTTTGCTAGAGCAGATGCCTCTTGTAGGAAGTACCACATGTTTAGGTTGGAAGCATTTTTAAAACATGCTATGCTGGTCACACACATCGGAGAGACTGATTACAGGTGGTTTCAGAGCTCAGCGTCCCCCTCAGGTTGGCACAGAGCTCTCATGCTCTCTGATGGAGCAGACAGTGTCCAGGCAGCTGCACTTAGAGAGGCAGGGGTGCAACCCCTGCTCCAGCTGTGAGCTGAGTGGTGTCTTACAGGCAAAACAGTCTGGCCCTTTCTCTCTGGCCATTAGGTACCCTGTCCCACCAGGTGAAGGGTCATAGTTAAAGAAGGTGAAGTTTACCTTTGAAGTGGTGTTGTGAGATTTATCCGTTAGGGTTCCTCCCATTAGCCCTGGCTCACAGGCATCACCTGATCCACCCTCCCCAAACCTGGTGTGGAGTCTTTTCCCAATTTTGAACCCCACAGATGGTTTCTTTTTTTTCTTTACTTCTTTTTTATTGTTGACACTATTGCAGATATACCCATTTCGCCCTTTGCCCACCTCCACCCGGCCTCTGCCCCCTGCCTCCACCACACAGCTGTCTGTGTCTGTGAGCTATGCACACTAGTATGTGTTCTTTGGCTAATCTCTTCGCCTTCTTTTAGCCAGGATTCTTTTATTTTTAATTTTTTTTTATTTTGTATTTGGAATATCATTAATATAACATAAAACTCACCATTTTGAAGTGTGCAATTCACAAGATGATATAACCATCACCACTATCTAATCCCAGAATAGTTTCTTCATCCTCAAAAATACCCATCCCCATTAGCATCAGCTTGCTACTTCTTACTCCCCCCAGCCCCTGGCAACCACTAATCTCTCTGTCACTATGGACATTGCAGATAACTGGAATCCTATAATACGTTGCCTTTTGTGTCTGGCTTCATTCACTTAGCATGTTTTCAAGGTCCATTCATGCTGTAGCCTGAATCAGTACTTACTTTATTTCTTTTTATGGGTGAATAATATTCTATTGTGTATATACACCACATTTTGTTTTTCTTTTCATTGGTTGATGGATATTGGGTTGTTTCCACTTTTCTGTATGACTAATGCTGCTATGGGCATTTACTTACAGGTTTTTGTGGGAACATATATTCTCCATTCTCTTGAGAGTGTGTATGTATATGTGTGTGTGTGTGTGTGTGTGTATGTGTGTGTATGTGTGTCTATACACACACTGTAGAGGCCCAGTGCACAAAATTCATGCTCAGGTAGGGTCCCTAGGCCTGGCTAGCAATCGGGACCAATCAGGGCCTTCTGGCTGCCGGCCGGGCCCTTCCTTCTGGCTGCTGGCTGGGGCCTCCCTTCCCCTGCTGCCAGCTGCCAGCTGAGGCCTTCCTTTGTTCCATGCCACCCCCTGTAGGTCAGTGCACATCATAGCAAGCAATCGAATTCCCGGTCTCCCGGTCAAACTCCTGAGGGGACACTTTGCGTATTAGCCTTTTATATATATAGATAAGGTATATACCTACAAATGGAATTGCTGGTAACTTTGTATTTAATATTTTAAGGAACAGCTAGGTGGTTCTTCATTGCACCTTGGTGTCTTAGCTTCCTCATGGCACTGGCCACATTCTGCATGTCATGCAGCTATTTTATGCGTCCTGGCTCCCTTCTCTTGTGGAGCCCTTCAAGGCACACACTGCCTCCAGCATTGACCTGCTCCACACAGATAGCATTAGGCCTGGTACACAGTGGTAGCTAAATAAATGGACTCTGTACGGGATCACATCCAAGCCAGCTGACTGGTTGCCTCTGGCCCTACTAAGAGCCAGTTATACTAAGTAGTCAATATTCTTAGCACATGATATTTCTGGTTCCTAATGTCTGATGTGTTAGGAAGGGTTTAGTAATGTTAGTGATGATAATTATTGTACTAGAGGCCCAGTGCACAAAATTTGTGCACGGGTAGGGTCCCTAGGCCTGGCTGGCGATTGGGGCCAATTGGGGCCTTTCTTCCCCCAGATGCTGGCTCCTGGCTGGGGCCTTTCTTCATTCTGCACCACCCGCTGGTGGTCAGCACACGGCATAGCGAGCTGTCAAACTCCTGGTCGGTCGAACTCCTGAGGGGACAATTTGCATATTAGCTTTTTATTATATAGGATAACAGAGGCCTGGTGCACGAATTTGTGCACGGGGGGCAGGAGTGGGAAGGGACCACGAGAGGTTGTCCACCGGCTCCAAGGAGGGAGCCAGCCCTCAGCCCCTCTAGGAAGGGGGCTGAGTCTGCCACCACACACCCCTGGCTCCCCATCCCAGCCCAAGGCCCGAAGGTCCCAGCAGGGTTGGGAGAGGAGGCAACAGTTGCCGAGTTGGGCACAGAAAGAACAGACGCTGATGCCGCCCCACCATCATGTGGTTCCCTGTCTCCCGCCCTCCTCCTTCCCTCACTGTGCTGCCATCGCAGCAGGCGGGTGTCCCCCAGGGAAGGGAGAAGACAGGAGCAAGGCAAACCCTTGTGTCAAAGGCTGACTTTCAGTAGGTCGCAGTGGGGGAGCTTCTCTGCTACATACGAAACCCTGTCCCAGAAGCAGGTTGTCTATGAATGGTTTAGCACCAGGAGCCAATGGGGGCCAGTCGGCCGGGAGGAGGGGCCATGGGTGGTTGGTCAGCCACGGGAGGTTGGCTGTGGGAGTGCACTGACCACCAGGGAGCAGCTCTTGCGTTGAGTGTCTGCCCTCTGGTGGTCAGTGTGTGTCATAGCGACTGGTGACCAGTCGTTCCAGTCGTTCTGGTTGTTCAGTCATAACAGTCGCTTAGACTTTTATATAGATAGATAGATAGATAGATTTATTTGTATTCTCTTAAATTCATGTTTTACTCAAAAACTTGTAGGCTTTGTGAATCTGTTATTGGAAGTGCCAGTAGGTACTTAATTTTAAACTAACATAAGTTCTGTCATCTTATTAGTTCCCAGAATAGGGTGAAATACCCTTTTACCATCAGGCAGGCACACATTAACCTTAGCATATATTTTTGAGGGCTTTCCTAATGTTAATATCTGATGTTATATATTTTATATTTGTATAGTGTGTACATTTAACTTTTTATATATTTCTATATGAAGTTCAGATGTTTTACTAAAACATTTTAATGAACAAGAAGTAGTTGACTATTGTAGGGTAAACTGTTGTACAAGTGATGGTAGTACTCCTGTGACATGGCGGAAGTCTTGCTAATCATACTTAAAGGGAAAAATGTTTCCTTTCTCTTCCACTTCTGACACCAAATGAATGGTGTTTTTTCTCAAACCAATCAATTCTTCAACTCTCTGGACACTGATGGGATGTCCTGCAATTCCATTCAGTCTGACGTTAACTACCTGGAGGTAGCACTCACCTCACAAGTTAAGGGCTCAGTCCCATGAGACCATCCCCACTTCAGACCGAAGTCCCAGGTTGTCTCCTGCACTTCTGACTGACTGGCTAAAACCAGGGGTTTCAATTACCACCCCCTCGGGTCCAGTAATTTGCTATAATGGCTCACAGAACTCAGTGAAATGTTTAATTTACCTTTTCCAGTTTATCATAAAGGATATTGTAAAGAAAGGGGCTGAAAATTCTAAGTTTCTAACCATGGCTTGATCTGTCTGGCAACCAATCCAGGAGCCCGCCTCAAGTCACCTCATTAGAACAAAAGGTGCTCCCACTGGCCCCAGCATTCAGGGGATTTAGGAGCTCTGTCAGGAACCAGGGGCAGAGACAAAATAAATCTTTATGTCATAGTGCGAAAAATCAATATTGTTGATTGATTTGAAATCAGAGAATACAAAATTAGAGTGGGCATTTTGATGTAAATGAATTCCCTTACATCCATTTTTGTTTCTGCAGTGTTTTCTTCGCTGAGCCTCGGCCTGCTTCCAGAACGATCCGCTACTCTAATGGTTTATGAAGATGTTGTCCAAATAGTCTCAGGATTCCAAGGTATGTTGAATATTTAAAAAGAGAACTGACAGCAGCTTTGGGGCTGACTTCTCAAAATCTTATGAGGGACGGCTTATTGTCAGGTGGTAATGGCAGTGGATTTATCCAAAGCTGAGACACACCATCCACTGTCCCTGGCAGTGCACAACACATTTGAATTTTGGTTCAACTCTCTGTTGGCTGTGATCTTGTTTCCTGTAGGCTCAGCTGCTAGATGTTGAGAGATAAGAAGGGGCTCCACCACTCTATCCAGACCACACCCCCCTCATCCCCACGGGACAGAGTATTCACCTCATGAGGTCAGAGCCAGGACCCTGCCTGGGCCTCCCTGACCAGTAGGCAGGGTCACTCTTAAAAGGATCGTGAGCATTCAAACGTACAGAATTTCAGTTTTGCAAGATGAAAAGGTTGTAGAGATCTGTTGCAGAAAAATATAAATATGCTTAACACCACTGAACTGTACACTTAAAAATGGTTAGGATGGTAAATTCAATGTTCTAGATTTTTACAACAATAAAAACAACCCTCCCCACCCCCAACAAAAAAAGGAAAACAGTTCGTGAACACAGGAGTGTAGCTCTTCCCTCTCTAGTTTAGTCCATGCCACGGGCAGCGATGTGTGCAAGCATGACCTCATCCCTGGAACTTCTCTTGCAAAGACTTGTACAGAAAGTTGGTTGGAGTTGGGGGTTGGCGACTGTGGCAGGAACTGTTTCATCGGAGGTAGGAGGAGGAAGAAAGTATTTGCAGAAGGAAAAGTGGGCTGACTCTGGAGAGGCCAGAGTTCAGGACCATGAATGCCAAGAAGGCGGGGGCGGGGAACAGTGTCGACCATTGTGAAGAAGTCAGGGGGGATGAAGGCTGAGAAGCGGTCCCAGGGTTTGCACATTATGTAGTCATCAGTTGACATTACCAAGGGCAGCGAGTGCTGGGGGTAGAAGCCACATCACTGGGTCTTGGGTGGAAGGAGAGAAGGCATTTGCTTATGGGAATAACAGTTAAAGTCATGTTTTATTGTTATTTTTCTGGATGAGGGAGAAATGGGTATATATGTTGGTTGGGGAGGAAAAGCCTATAGAGTATATTGTTGATGAAGGCAAAAATAGTTGGTGGATTCACGTCGTGCAATAAAACAAGCAAAAGTTAGGATACTTGGGTTGACCTTGGAAGAGAGCAGGGAGAGAGAGAAGACGGAAGAAAGGTTTTAAAGCGCAGAGAGAGGATGTGATGGCCCCAGTGTTTTCCATAGAGGAGAGTCTAAGGATTTTGGGAATGGTGGTTGGAGCCTTACGTTTGAAACAGTTGCTGTGAGGAAGGTGGGAGAGAGGCATCCAGAGAAGACAGACAGACTGTCCACTCCCCATCTCCTATCCCCACCCAATTACCTCCTTTTCTGAACGATGGGGAATTTAACAGCTCTAATACATGAAGATAGGCTTAAGGACATAACACTCCCTCCACCCCACACATACCCACTTACACCATGGCTTAAGGTAGCCTGGAGCCTTACACTCCACAGATGTTTCCTTGGTCATTCACCAGGCACAGGTCTTGCCTGTGCTCCATGGGGTGTGTGTTTGGTCCCTCAGCAGACAAGTTTCCAGGTCTTGCTGGTCACAGCGTGTGTCACATCAGCTGGGCCACTTTCCCTTGTAGTACACCAGCCCCAGCATGGCCCCTCTGTGGCCCCCACCCCAGCCACAGCAGATAGACCTAACTATTGGGCCAAGGATCAACTTCTCCTGAACAAAAGAGGAAGGCAGGCAGCAGAGGGAAAAAAGAAAGAGGCAACAGAAATAGGGAGGGGGGAAATATATCTCCCACTAATGTACATAACATGTTAGAGAATAAGAGAAGGTACGAGAGAGGTAGGCAGGCAGGCACAGAATTGGGACGAGATCCCAGGGGCCTCTAAGAGCTGGGAGCAGCCTTGGTTGTGGTTCCAGGTCCTAGACCATTCCTGTCAGGCCTGGCTGGGGTGTTATCTGTGGATTCAGTCAGATTCCCTCATCTATGGTCTAGTGCAGGGGTGGGCAACCTTTTTGTGAGTGCGTGCCAAAAACAGCAAAATCTCTGACGCAAAATTCTTCTGCGTGCCAACCCTAATTTTTTGAGAACATGTTATGCCAGTTGATATCTCTTAAGGTGTACGTATGTGAAGAACCTTGAAGAAATAATAAAATTCATTCGAGTGACAAAAACACAGTATATGATGATGAAAAATACATTTATTTTTTAATGTATACATGTACACTGATAGTCCAACAGAAAACTTTATGACTCCACTTGATATTAAGGCAGAGGCATAGAAGAAATTTCTCCCCCTCTCTCGTCAATCCATGTCTATGGTCTTTAAGATAACTTGTTATGTAAAATTATTTATTTATCTAAGATGCACCTACACTGAATTTATCTGAAAAATAAAAGAGTCGATATTAAGAAAAAAATTGTAAATGGAAGATTATAAGAGAGGTTTTCGCGTGCCAGCAAAAATTACTGGCGTGCCATGTTTGGCACGCGTGCCAGGGGTTGCCCACCCCTGGTCTAGTGTAAGTGGATTTCTGTTCCTTACAGCCAGGGGACTTCGCGAAGGTCTCATCCCATCCATCTCACAGGGGCAGGTCCTAGACCTGGAAGGGCACACGTATCCCGTCCTGTTCTGGGGTGACCAGCCTGTCACACTTTAGACACATTACTCTATCTTAGTGAGTGATTTGTCTACCTACTCATGAGACCTAGGCTTCAGCACCATTTTTAGACTGAAGAACAATAGAGAAAGGGAAATTAAATCTCAAAAAGTTCACTATCATTGAAAAAAGTATGGGAAGTAATGACTGTTATATGGTTGGGGGTGAAGAGGTGAAAAAGAAAGGGTTGACTTTGACTTTTCATCTCTGAGGGCAGCAGGGAGGAGGTCCGAGGAGGCAAGCAAATCATGTAGGGAGTGGAGGGAGGGGAGCAGGAGAAGCTAGCAGCTCCCAGCCTGGGAAGCAGGTTCGTGTGGCATTGGAACTATGCAGACTGAGGAGATGACAGCAGGAAGACAGCACTATTCTGTGCAATCAGAGGAAAAGAAGACCAGACTAAGAAGAGATTAAAGTGGAAAGATATACAAATAAACAGTTCAAGGCACATGGATGCTCCTACATGACTGAAGGCTTGTTTTGGGGATGAGAAAGGGCACCGATGGTCTGGAACAGAACAGGTGCATGTGCTGCTCAGTTTCAGTGTGACCGGACTTAGATGGGGGCTCTCATGACGGTGGGCACCTGGCCCTCTTGGGCCCTGAGGCTGGTCTGTTTTATGGAGTGGAGAACCAGCCATCTGAGAAATTTAATCAGTGATTTTTAGGAGTTTGGGGAACATTGTGACCACCTTCGTCTACCCCACACATCTATGTGGGCAATTAATCCATTGGCTTCCGTGGCCTCGCCTGTAGGAAGAGAGACATAGGCTAGCTGGTCCTTCGAGCTCTAAAGCTCCCTTATTCTAGAACATGTCTAGATAGGTGTATCCCCTTAAAAGTTTGTGATCTGGAGGTAAAAGGAACCCTGGAGTAAGCATTAGACCAGTGATGGCGAACCTTTTGAGCTCGGAGTGTCAGCATTTTGAAAATCCCTAACTTAACTCTGGTGCCGTGTCACATATAGAAATTTTTTTATATTTGCAACCATAGTAAAACAAAGATTTATATTTTTGATATTTATTTTATATATTTAAATGCCATTTAACAAAGAAAAATCAACCAAAAAAATGAGTTCGCGTGTCATAGGTTCGCCATCACTGCATTAGACCATCCACTCTGGGCAGGGCTACTGGGCCAGACCACCATGGTGGGGATAGGGTGCCCCCAGCCGACCACATGGTCCACCTCAAGCTGGGGTAGGATATATGATGACCAGAATGTCAGGACAGAATATTGTCTTTAAGGAAGACACTTTATTTTAATGAGGAAAAATGAGAAATGTGTGCTTTCATTGGTAAATGCTACAACTCCCAATTCTTTTACTTTTGTCTTGAAGTTTTTGCTGGGTTTGTACAAAATGACTTAACACCTTTACGTCTTGCAACTACCACCTCGCATTAGGTAAAAACAGGTTCAGGTTTACAGTCAAAACATCTAGAGCAAAGTCAAACAGCGGGTGATGTCACAAGGCAACTGTCTGAAGGGCCTGTCACCTCTACCGTCCTTCTGCACAGAAGAGCTGGCTTTGGTAAGGGGAGCATCACATTATTCCAAGAGCCTCATCATAAAATCTGCAACGTAATCAGTCACAAATAGGATGCACCCCACCAGCCATTCTGGGTGCCAGGTGGCAGCTTCCCAGGAGGAAACAGGCTCCTTACTCTTGGGCTCTTGTTTGCAGTCTTATCCAGGCAGGCTGCACATTCAATCCCTGCCTCTGCTTTGGTTGGGTCTGTGGCGTTCAACCAGATTTCACCAGACAGAGAAGGATGTGTTTGCCGCCAAATCAAAGGGTATCGCTTGCCTTGTTTGTGTAAAGAGATTGTCATCTACTTGTTTCACTTACACGGACTTTGTTTCCCAAAATGTTACCCTGATCCATAGACAAATGCTGTGCAGTGAAAAGACCGCTCACAGATAGCACTTGGAAAGCTTGTTGTTGAGAAACCTAAATAACATCCTGTGTCAAAACAAATGCGACAATGGGCTATTATTTCTCTCCCCATAATAGCGTGTTGTCACATCTCAGTGTCCTGCGTGAAGTGAATGGGGTGGAGGAGCTGTGGGGAGAGCTAAGGGCAGGGGAAGCCTGCTGGAACCTTACAGAAGCTCTTCCTCGTTTTGCATCATCTAAAAGCAGAAATTGCTCCCTCGGGATGTAACTCAGAGGTGAATTCCTGCAGGTGCCCGGCCGCAGCCTCGCGTTCATTTCCAGAGGAGAGCCCTGCGGCTGCCGGAGAACACCAGCTACAGTGACCTGACCGCTTTCCTGACGGCCGCCGGCTCCCCCTCTGAGGCCGACAGTTTTCCATACTTGCGAGGATTAGATGGAAACAGAACAGGTAATTTGAGTCTCTTCTTTGTGCATCCTGGCTTCCGTGTTTGAATCTGTGTGTGGGGGTTGAAGTGTTGGTACTGAGTGGGAGAACGGAAGTGGCAGAGGGAGGGCGCTTTCTCCAAGCCCGAGTGTGTTCAAACTGTTCCCTGAGGAATTTTGTCTGCACCACGGCACAGCGTTTCAGCGACTGTCTCCTTGAGCCTTTCTCCTGGTCCCAGCTGCCTTCAGCACCTTCTCTGAGCTCTCCTTTGGTGGAATGAATATATTTAATTCAGAGGAGTTTTTTAAACTGAAAAATTGTTTTTAAGTATAAAATCAGAGCTAGAGGTTTTCTGCCCGTCTGTCCTCGGCCTTGCCCCACTTGCCCTCAGATTGTGTGTTTGGTGGGGCAGCCTGTCTGCCTCGCTGGCCTTGCAGAGATGAACAGCCCCATCTGCCCAACCCCCTGTCACAGCTCGAGGGGAAGGTGGTACCGGGGCTGATCCGAGATGAGCAAACCAGTGCCCTCCTCGCCCAATAGATGAGACAAAGTAAAAGCCATTAGCCAGAAAATTTGTAATAAATCCTTATCAGTAAAGACTGAAGACGTGTACCTTCCACCCCTGCTCACGGCCAGCAGCATAATTCATCAGGTGCTTGGTGCTGCCATGGTCCCTCCTTCTGGTGACTGGGGTTGGGGTGGGGGCTCTGAAGTCCTGAATCATTTTCTTGTCTCCCCTCTTCTTTTCCTGGACACTTTAGTCACAACATAAACTAAAACAAATGGAGGCTGTTCTGGGTTAAATCCTGCGTGGTTGGTAAGTTACTGCATTTCCCAGGGACACTTTCATTGAGTATCACCTCAGAATGATTTCATAACTGATTGTTCTGAAAGAGCTTCTAAACCTGCAATGTCTAATCCATTTTGTAGAATATTAGTAAATTACTGGTTACAGATCAAGGTGACCTGGTGATCGGTCATTTGCTTTTCTTCCCTCTGCAGCGCTTGTTTTCGGGAATCTTTCTTCTTCTTTTAATTTTTATATGATGATAATGCAATTAATAGTCAGTAACCAGAAAGAGGCATGGTAGCCCTCTTATGTAAACATTATTGGGATAAGCGTTAACTTTCTCTTTAAATGCACAGCCCTTAGGAGAAAACTCGTGTTTCGTGGAGAACATGATAAAGTGCAATCTGAGACCACCATGAAATCTCCACCCAGTCTCCCTGACAAAATGGTGTGCAATCATAAACCCCAACTTGGAGAAGTGACCTCTCTTGAATAAATTATGAAATCCGAGATGAAGGGGGAAGAACACAAAGACAGACTATTTCAGTAGTTTGTTTTCTTTAAAAAGATAACTATTGTTTTAGAGGAAAGAGAGGTCTTTGAAAGGTTACTTACATTCAGCTTCTTTTCCACTGAAATAACTAAGTTGACTCAGGGAAAATTCTTTGAGTGTGTTCACTGGCACCTGTGAGGGTGTGGGAGCCTAGACTCCATGAGGCGCCCCAACAGCTCATCAGCTGGGCATCCATCTCCAGGGGGTGCGCACAGTGTCTCCTCTGCCCCAGTGTTGTTTGCCTACTGTTTCATAAACCACGTCTAAGACAGTGGTTGGCAAACTGCAGCTCGCGGGTGAGAGGCTGGACCACGTGTACTGGAGTGAGATGACAGGTCCTAACTAGAGTTCAGTGAAGGTGAACGGATGCCACAGATGTGATGAGAAAGTGCTCTGAAGGCTGGTTTCCTTGGAGCATCCCCAGGGGAGTTGTGTCCAGTTTAGAAGAAGCTTCTGGAATTGTAAATAGAGAAACGCAGCCACGTGGAGACTTCGGCCATGTCCTCGATAGCTCATCCCCTCCCATCTGCTCCCTTAGTGTCCTGACATCACATAGAACCACAGACCATGCCGGCACAGCACTATTCAGTCACATCCCCAAGGGGCTTTCTAGAAATTGCTTGTGCTAGTAACTCCCAGAAGACAGAGGGGAGTCAGTAAAACGACTAATGGGTGAAATTGTTCTGCAGTCAGAAAAGCTGGTAGTGGATGCAAAGCCAAACAGCAGCTTAGGTGCTATCTGAGCAAAGCCCCTCCTGTTCCAAGGGACGAATCAGGCTCTGAGAGTGGGCAGTGCTGCGGCCCCTGGCCCTGCTGCTCGGCCTGACACCTCTCTATTGGGACATGACAGGAGCCAGGTAACATCAAAACAGAACAGAAAGGAAAGAACCTCTCATACACGGAACTCAGCATTTCATATAGAGTTACAGCCTCATAACAAGGACTGGAGGAGGAACAATTTAGCCTTTCAAAGTATGAATCTTTCCAGAATGAAGAAAGTGGGAGGGCAGAGGGAGGACCCTTTGAAAGGCATTTAGTGGGGCCCTGAGAAAGGAGGCCTCAGCAAGCAGATGGAATTGCCTGCAGTGTCTTCAAACAGAGGATTGTTGTTGTTAATCCTCACCTGAGGATATTTTTCCCCATTGATTTTTTGTTTTGTTTTGTTTTGTTTTAGAGAGAATGGAAGAGAGGGGGAGGAGAGAGAGAGAGAGAGCGAGAGAGATGTGTGAGAGAGAGAGAAACATCAATGTGAGAGAGACACACCAATTGGTTGCTTCCCAACACACCCCAACCAGGTGCTAGGGGTTGAACCAGCAACCCGGGTATGTACCCTTGTCTAGGAATTGAACACTCTAACCATTGAGCAACACTGCAAGGGCATGCAGGACTTTTAAAAGAACATCGAATCACATGAACTTTATGTGTATTGCATTACATTAATGTGCCCTTTTCTGTAGTGCTGTACCTACTTCTGAATGTTTATAGCTGAACCCATTTCTTTCCATCGACTTACAGGAAATCATCTAGCCCAGTGGTCGGCAAACTGCGGCTTGCGAGCCACATGCGGCTCTTTGGCCCCTTGAGTGTGGCTCTTCCACAAAATACCGACTTCTGCACATGGGCCATGAAGTTTCAATCGTGCTGTATGTGCGCGCCCGCACATGGTATTTTGTGGAAGAGCCACATTCAAGGGGCCAAAGAACCGCATGTGGCTCGTAAGCCACAGTTTGCCGACCACTGATCTAGCCCAACCTTCTAGTTGTTTTTTCTTTTTCAGATATGTTTTTATTGATTTCTTAGAAGAAGAGGAAGGGAGAGGGATAGAGAGATAGAAACATCAGTGAGAGAGGTATATCATCGATCACCCCCCTCCTGCACACCCCCACGGGGGATCAAACCCACAACCCGGGCATGTGCCCTGACCTGGAATTGAATCAGTGACCTCTTAGCCCACAACCCGGGGATGTGCCCTGACCAGAATCGGACTGGTGACCTCTTGGTTCCTGGGTCGATGCTCAGTGAGCCACACCAGCTGGGCCCAACCTCCTTAGTTTTGCAGATAAGTAAAACAAACCCGAGGAGTGAAGTCACTTGCCCGAGGCCATATAAGCAATTGCTACCTGAACCCTGCTTCCTGTGCCTGAAATGTGCAAGAGAGTGGGAAGGGAAAATCCAAAGGGCACGGTTGCCATGTCTGGGAACCACGGCTGAGTGGAGTGGGAGGAAAGGAAGGATGATGCTGTCTGGAGTGCTGTCTGACTCTACCTACCGCTTCCCTCTTCAGACTTCCTGCCCCAGGTTTAGTGAAGGAGGCAGCACTACTTAACTGAAAACATTATCTCTGAGTTGTTTAATACAGCAGATAGTAAGTTACTTAATTTCTCTTTAAGTTTTATCTCATCAGAGAATCTAACAGAACCTAGTGGAGAGGTGCACATTGTAGACCTGGCTTTGCTTCTGTGTTCCCTTTGGGCAATGCTCATATTTAGGCCGCTGTCCACAAGCTATTTTGATGAAATCTGGCAAATTCTGGGTTTTGGTTTTCTTATCCTAAAATGAAATGGCCAGACTAAAAGATTTCAGAACCTGAATCTATGACTCCAACATGGACCTTCGATCAAGTTCCCATTTCCATACTTTCCCGACATTTAAAAACAGATACAAGTATCCTATATGACAAAGAGGTGATATGCAAATTAATCCTCACATCCTCACAAGATGGCTGCCTATGACCAGGTCAGCAGGTGGGTTAGTGAGGGAAATAAACAACTGAACAAGCGGGGGGAAGGATATCCAACTGCCGGTTTAGGCCCCATCCCCGGGATCGGATTGGAGACTGTGCAGGCTGGGCTGAGCCTCCCAAACCCTGTGCACGAATTTTGTGCACCAGGCCTCTAGTACATTATAAAGGGTACCGCTGTCAGTAGCTATATAGAAATTGCTCCATAAAGGGTTTAGCTGTGATTTGTTGAAACTCTAAAATTCACTAAGAAACATCCAAATTTTTATGAGTTTATTTGAGCCAAACAGATGACATTTGCCAGGAAACAAAATCTCAACAGATTGAGAAAATGCTTCAGAGAATGGCAGCTTTGTCTTTTTATACATTACAATCAAAGGAGGAGGCATAGGGGAGGTTACATGAAATTCATTGGTGGCAGATTAGGGTGGTGAGAGAATGCAAAGTGGGGAAGTATTTGAGATAGGATAAAGAGTAAAATGAAGAGACAAATACTTTTATATTGGTATATATCCGTATTTTACATTTTATATGCATATAGAATACTTAACAGTTTACATTAATAGTACATAGAGATGGTGTGCAGGGGAACAAGACAACCATGAGGAGTGTAATTGCCCTCTGGTGGGAGATTTTGCCCTGAGGGGTCTGGAAAAAGGAAGATGACTCAGGCATTCCAAAGGTATGTTATCTTAAATGCAAAAAAAAAAAACCACAATGGACAGGCTCAGTTACGGTAAAGATAAACTTTTGTCTAAGAATGACTACCTACCATGACTCACTTTTAGTTAAGTCAAGCTTGTCAAACTCAAAGGCTAACACGGGCCAAATAAACAAGGTTTCAGTTTATGTGGGCCGCAAAAAAACAAAAGCTGGGTCTCTGAGTTTCTAAAGCCTGCCATGCAAGCCTCCCCTGAGCTTGTCAAGTTTAGTAAGCTTTAAATATTTAAATTTAGTCCTAATTGGAAGTTTGAGTTCGCTCAGATAATTGATGGGTATGTAAATATATAAATAGCTTAATAAGAAATCCTATAGTTTGTGTTCTGATGTAGCTTAAAATTGTTTTACCATTGTATTTTTGTCATTGTGTTTAATTAAAGGATTTAAAGTTACGACAGAATACATTTTGTGTGATATCATATTTCACTTGAGAAAAGGTTTTCTAAAATGGATTGCTTAAGTGTATAAATATAATGCCACTCTACAAGCATTGCCTAATTTATCTGTAAAATAGATAGTCATTAAAGCATTGGCTTGGATAAAAGGCCTCTAATGCAGAATAATTGGTATTTTAAATTCCTTTTAAACAGATCAAAATAACAATGGCAACTAAAATAACTCATAAATATTTCAAGCCCAAGTTTTCAATAGTGTACTTTTAGTGGAAGTAAATTAATATTTTGAAGAACTCCTTGAAGAAATTTACCTTTTTTTTTTTTAAAGTAGTCTCTAATTGAAAATACCCTTTTGGTGATCTGCCAAGTAATTAACGTGTGCACAGGGCTCCCTTTGTGACTGAGTCAGTTTCGGGGATTTCCTCAAGCACCTCCCTGTCCCATTACCGACAAAAAGTCCTTCCCTTTGGAGGTCGTTTTTAAAAGTAAAGTGCAGTAATTAGATTGGGCAACCCGAGTTTCGAGTTTCAATCCCAGCCTTACCACCCGCTGTTCTATGCCCTTAGGCCAGCTCCCAGTAGGACCCTCTCTGAGTCTCAGCTTCTCTCTGTGTAAAATGGGGGTTTTTCCTACCTTAGAAAGTCGAGGTAAGGATTATGTGTGCAAAGTGCTTAGTGCAGTCCCTGGCAGATAGGAGGCATGGTACTTGGCAATTGGTAGCAATTACTATTTTTTTTGGAAACGGTTTCCACAGCCCCACGAATCTTTGTGTGCATGTGATGGAGAATGCCTCTTGCTTCCAGGAAACGGCACCAGGTACGACCTGAGCCCAGTCACAGCTGTCAGCGTGCACTTGCTCAGCAGTGATGGAACGCCGGTGCTGGTGGATGGTCCCATTTATGTCACCGTGCCCCTGGCCACACAGAGCAGTCTGAGGCACAATGCCTATGTCGCAGCATGGCGGTTTGACCAGAAGCTGGGTAAGCAAGACACCTGTGCTGATGATCTGCTAACAGATGACTTCATCATTGCTGTTTGGTTTTCCTTTTAGGAGGCTTGTGCAAGTCTCCTTGCCGTGAGGTGTTGCGTGGTTTCTGGTGGGTAGTACCTACTCCACCGAGATGTTCAGGCGTGTTCTTTTGAGTATTTTTTTTTCTTTTTCTTTCCTTTTTTGCACCTTTAAGCTAATCTACGTGAAAAGAATCTTTAAGAATCTTTAAAAGTTCTTAGAGCTAAAATTGTCTCTCTTAATCTTTATACTTTGATTCTTTAGAAGGTCATACGATCTTTCTTGGTGGTTTTCTTTTCCTGTTTTCTGAAAAAGGGAAAACATTGCCAACATTGTACAAAAAGAGAAAATAAAAATTATTATTCCACCAACTAGAGAGAACCACTACTAGTATTTTGGATTCTATTCTTTCAGTCATTTCACTATGCACGTAGATATTAGTTAACTATTGCCATGTAACAAATTGCCCCCAAACCAGCAGCTGTAGACTACAGTAAACAACTGTCACCTCACTGTTTTGTAGGTTCAGGAACACAGGTACAACCTACGTGGTGGTTCTGGCTCAGGGTCCAGCAAGGTTGCAAACAGGCTGTCAGCCAGGCTCTGCTCATCGCAAGACTCAGTTGGGCCAGCCAGCCAGCACCTTCCAACCTCACTCACAGGCTATTGGGCAGGGGCTTCCGTTCTTTCCCAGGGGCGACTCCTTAGGGCTTCTCACAGCACAGCATCTTGCTTCTACCAGACCAAGTGACCCAAGAGAAAAAAACAATAAACAAAAATTTAAAAAGCACACGTGGGCAAAATGGAAGTCACAGTCTTTTATAATCAAATGTCAAAGTGGCATGCCATCACTTCTTTCTCTATGCTTTTGGTCACAGAGCCCAACACTGGTGCAGTGTGGGGTGGACTGCACAGGCGTGTGAATACTGAGTGGTAGGCATTATTGGGGACCTCTTAAGAGGCTGCCTTCCATGCAATATATATTTAAAAGAAATGAGGTTTTGTGTCATGTGCTGTTGAAAAGTATTTGTATGTCAGAAACATCTTTCCATAGCATTAGTTATTGTGCTGCAGGGTTAATATTAGTGAATGCATAGTTTTCCATCACATGGAAATGTCATAATTTGGTTGCTCAATCCCATATAATCAGGAAATACATTACTATTCTCACCAATGCTATGATATATGTATCTTTATAGCGAAATCTTTATGCATGGTCATGATTATTTCCTTAAGATAAAGTTTTAGAAGAAGCAGAACTGCCGAAACCGGTTTGGCTCAGTGGATAGAGCGTCGGCCTGGGGACTGAAAGGTCCCAGGTTCGATTCCGGTCAAGGGCATGTGCCTGGGTTGCGCGCACATCTCCAGTAGGAGATGTGCAGGGGGCAGCTGATCGATGTTTCTCTCTCATTGATGTTTCTAACTCTCTATCTCTCTCCCTTTCTCTCTGT